AATGTGTACCTATACATATATGTAAATATAATTACATAGATATCAGGAATATATATGTATACAACATATTAATTAAATTTATATTATTATATTATCCTGATGTATGTATGTATTCCTGCTATATATGTGTATGTATGTCTAATTCAAATGATAAAGATGACAGCCTCCTTGTCACTCCCACCCACCCACCCAGATTTACACAAGCAAATCTAATCAATTTGGTTAGAAGGGATTTATTTTAATATTTTAGAGGATTTCTTAGATACAGTATGATTTTTAGTTATATTAGTAGTAATTGGAAATGTGTATTTTTATGACTGTGTTTGAAGTCGCCTTCTAAATAATTTCTAGAGTAAAATTTTTATATCAAAGAAGTTGGTCTTAACATTTTTTTTTTCAGGAGCATACATTTTGAAATCATTTCTATGGGAAGATATAAACAAATTTAGTTCTCCTTTTTAGAGATGTTGACACTTTCCCCAAGATTTACTCTGCATGATTTGTCTGCCACTCTGTAGCTTGTTACACTTAAATCCCAGATTTCCTTCCCATTTCAGTTTCTCTAGAATTTCTGGCTGTATCCAATGGGTCAGATTTGTGAGTGAACCATTAAGAATGATTAAGTGTAGAAATAAACCATGGATTAGGAGTTTGAACACTGCCTAGGTTGTGTTTCTGATTTGGTTATGACTCAACTGTGTGGCCTTGGGAAATCACTTTACAGGTATCCCTGGTTGACTTAATCTCTTGTAATTATGAGGATCAGATAAGATACATTAAAACATTTTGTAAACTGAATTAGTTTATTTACTTACATGTATATCTATGAACCTGGAGATCAGGTGCTATGTTTAGGCCTTATCTTTGTTTTTAATCCTATATCTCTAATTGTGTTTGTAAACGAGTGAGTCATGTTAGTGGTTGCTAGAGGTTTGAGTAAAACAAACAAGCAAAAAAAAAATGTAAGTTAATACTATTTCTCTTTTTTAAAAACTTTTTTACATTTTAAAAGTTATAGATAAATATAGAGATGAGGTCTCACCATGTTTCCCAGGCTAGTTTCAAACTCGTAAGTGATCCTCCCTCCTCAGCTCCCAGAGTGCTAGGATTCCAGGTGTGAGACACCATGCCTGGCCAGTAGTACTATTTCTTTGGGAAGATATTCAGTAGTAGTCAACAAAAGTTGAGCGTACTGCGACCAGTACCTAGTATTGGTGCTAGGTATATACCCAAGAGAAATGCAAACATAACAAAACTCACGTCCAGAATATTCACAGAAGCACAATTCATGATAGCTAAAAGCTAGAAAACAACCTAAATGTCTCTAAGCAATAGAATAAGAGTAATACAGTGTGGTTTGTTTATATCGTGAGATCCTGTACAGCAATGCAAAAGACCAAAATATTCTCTGTAACGATGAGAATGGCTCTCCTGTGCTCACTTGGGCAGCACATAAGCTAAAATTGGACCGATACAGAGAAGATCAGCATGGCCCCTGCACAAGGAGAATGAATCTCCCATTATGTTCAGGAAAAGAAGCCAGATATAAATGAATATTCCATTTTATAAAAAAAAAGTTTAAAAGCAAGCAAAGCTAATATTTGGGGCTAGAAATTAGGATAGTGCTTATCTTAGGAAGGGCTAATTGGGAGGATTCATAACAATTTTTGAGAGCTTATAATCTTTTTTTTAAAAATCTAAGATGTTAGTTACATTATATGTATTTGCTTTATGAAAACTGTCAGTTGTAAATTTGTGATTAGTGTATTTAAAAAAAAATGTTTTCTTAAAGAGGTGGGGAGATAAGTGAAGTCCATTTAAAAGTTGATGTCTTTTCACCCTTCTCTTATGAAAATGAACATGGCCCCTGGAGGCAGAACTTACATGGCTTGATGAAAAATGCGGCTATACTAACAAAAGAGAAACAAATTTAAAATAATCTTGTGGTTCTCAAACTGCCGGAAAACCTGTAGCTTACAAAGTTTGAATGGCCAGTTCTACATTTCTTGTTCCAAAAAGGATTTGAGACAGAAAATTTGTTGATAAAGAGGAACACACCACCAAAGAAATAATGATGAGATTTGGAATCATTAGACCTGGTTTTAAATTCTGACTCCAATTATATTTTGTTTTATTTATTTATTTATTATTTTTGTTTCTTTTGTTTTTGATTTTTTTGTTTTTAAAAAAAATTTTTTTTGTTTTTTTTTTGGCTCCAATTCTTATCTACATAATGAAGACTCAGTTCCTCATTTGTGAAAGAGGGGGTGGAGGTGTTGTGGTTAATGAAGTAACCTGAATTGACATAAAGTTCCAAACCATTCTACATGAGTATTGATTCAAACAATTTTTAACAGTACTTTTTCAGAAATTTCTCTAACTCCTGACCTCAGGTGATCCAACCTCCTCGGCCTCCCAAAGTGCTGGGATTAGAAATTTCTGTAATAGGACTTAAATTTTGTTACTGATTATTTACACAAAGTAATTTTTTTTTTTTAGTTTACTAAGTCAGATCTAGTTTTTTACTTGTAGCATCAATGAAATCTACTTCTGTACCAGTAACAGTTACATACAAGGGTCACAAATACAGCTCCCTGAAATTCAATGGAAAGGATTTTCTAATATGATGACATTTTAAAACAGCCTATTTAGGGCAACAGTTGGAAATATGTGATGAAGAAACTGAGTAAATTATACGGAAGTGCTCTTAAGAGGCCAAGGGAGAAGGATCACTTGAGGCCAGGTGTTCAAGACCAGCCTAAATGTTATAGCAAGATCCCCATCTCCACAAAAATGAAATGAAATGAAATTTTAAAATTAGACGAATGTGGTTGCATGTGCCTGAAGTTCTAGCTACTTACACAAAAATAATTTCTAAAAGCTGCAGTATAGTTTTTGATATATCAGATACTACATAATAACTACAGGAGATTTAGATTGTGTCTTCTCTGGTAAACCAAGTGATATAGTTTGGATGTTTGTCCCCTCCAGATCTCATATTCAAATGTGATCCCTAATGTTGGAGGTGGGGCTTGATGGGAGGTGTTTGGGTCATGAGGGTGAAACCCTCATCCCCTCCCCACTGTAATAATGAGTTCAAGAGTCTGGGATCTCCCTCATCTCTCTTGCTTCCTCTCTGACCATGTGACATATTTGCACTTACTTCACCTTCCACAATGAGTAAAAGCTTCCTGAGGTCTCACCAGAAGCCAGACAGATCTTGGTGCCATGCTTGTGTAGCCTGCAGAACCACGAGCCAAATAAACTTTTTTTTTCTTATAAATTACCCAGCCTCAGGTATTCCTTTATAGCAGTGCAAAATGGACTAATATACCAAGGAAAGCCAGAATATAATTCTGACATTCCAGACACGTTCTGCAGGTAAGAGCAAGGTCATAAATGATAAAACCCTTGCTTGGTGGCTGAAAACAGCCAACGTTTATTATCACAGTTTCTGTGGGTTGGGAATCTAGAAGCAGCTTAGCCTAGCTGAGTGTTTCTGACCCAGGGTTCTTGTCAGACTGCACTCAAAATGTCAGCCCATGCTGCAGTCTCTCAAAGCTCAACTGGGGTTGGATCCACTTCCAGACTCACTCATGTTTCTGGTGGTAAGCCTCAGTTCTTTGCCATGCGAGCTTCTCCACAAGGTCTGTGTCACCACATGGCAACTAGTGTCCTTCAGAGAAAGTGATGGAAACTACAGTCTTTTTTAATATTGTGAGTGGCATCTCTGGTAGTCCAGCTCATACTTAGGGGTAGAGAATTCCACAGAGATCAGCAGGCAGGGATTGCTGGTGAGCTCTTAGAGACTGTCTACCACAGTAAGAAAGCAGCATATGTTCTCCCATTCTCCCAAGACATTTTATCTTTCGGTAAAATGATACCTAGTAGCAGACTAACAACCACATGGGCAAGCAGGATGCTGAATCTCCGTATATTTAAGATGGAATGTAAGAATGACCAGAAATTAGAATTTCATTTTCATTTGCTGTTCAATTTTTTTTTTTTGCTTTTCGTATGGATTAATTAAAAAGATTGAGTTTGTCATTATGAGAACATGAACTTTCATTCTTATAAACTGAGGACATCAATATATGTTTTTCTGGATTTTCACCTATTTTGATGTGAGATTTTGTAAATGTTATGAGTTACATATGTTAGCACGTATGGAATGGTGACTGAAGAATTTTTTTGCGCAATTTAAGATGATCTCGTCCTTTTGAAATACCAGTTTAGGTTACTTGGTATACCAGGCTCTCTTTTGACATTAATGCAACTTTTGAGACGTTAACTTAGACATAGCTTATCTTTGAATTCTGTCCAAAAGCAATTTATGGTATGCCTGCATTTTATTGGGTACTAGAGTAAATGAGGTTTTACTGCTTTTCAATTTACAGTCTGTTTCGGAATAAAAGAGGGACTAAAATGTACAGATACCATGTTTAGGCAGAATCACCAGTAGGTGTTGGTTATATAAAATATGTTGTATGATGAAAAATATCATATAACTTTAAAAAGTATGTGCTAGTAAAGAAGGATTGGCAAGATACACTGTTAGTGGAAACAGCAAACAACAATTCTTAGAGCATCCTGAGGGTGGTGTTTGTGTGTGTAGATGAGGGAGCTATGCATACGTGTGTAAGTGTACTCATGGACAGTTTTGGGAAGGCTTTATAAGAAACTTGATGGTGATTACTTCTGGGGAGTAAGACTCTGAGGGTCTTATGTAGGAAGATGGGCTTTCCATTGCATGCTTTTTCAAAAAAAACTGTACATCATATTTTTGTTTAAAAAATAATTGCACAGTCTGTTAACATTCAGCTTTAAGAAATGTGTCTAGTAATATATGCATATACTCACAGTTATTTTAGTGATTTTTCCTGAAGATCAAAATGGACACATTTGCAGGAAAGCTTGATTTGAGCTTTGAAGTTTGTCCTTAAAATCTTTACTGACAGAGGCTCGTGTTTACTTACCACATTTACTTATTTTCTTTATAGGGAGACCAAATTTTGAGGAAGGTGGACCAACATCAGTAGGGAGAAAGCATGAATTTATACGCTCAGAAAGTGAAAATTGGCGTATCTTTAGAGAGGAACAAAATGGAGAAGATGAAGATGGAGGTTGGCGACTAGCTGGATCAAGGAGGGATGGAGAGAGGTGGCGACCTCACAGTCCTGGTAAGAATTCTGTTGAGTAAAGGCACACAGGGACTGAAATAAGGGAAAGTTTGATGGAAATAGGGATTAAACAGAAAAGATAAAAAGGTAGGGGGAGGGGAGCAGTCATACTATTTATGCTTTCACAGTTTTATTACTGGAAAAAATTCCAGCATAAGAATTTTCTACTGTATTATTCAGTTGATTGAAATCACTTTTCTGTTTTTCTGGGGGTAAATAGCGTAGTTTAATAGAGAGCACCTGCTCTCAACTGCAGAAATGAGGGTTTCATTCAGTTTTGTGTAACTCTAAATCTTTAAATCTTTTTTCAGCATTCTTTAAGACTTATAAATGTATAAACAATATACGCTTGAAGTATGTGATTCCCTCCCCAACAATGGGTTTTTCTTAACAAGAAAGGATTTATTCTTTCATTTTTTCCCTTTCAAAAATAGGATTTAACTTTGTTTGAAGAATAAGCTTTAAACCTAGGTCAGAGACATAATCACAAGTTCATTCTTTTGTCTTTCTAACTTTAGAAAAAGGAGAGAGAATAGTAGTGATTAGTTCTTCTGTTTGTCTCTTAAGAATGCTTCAAACTGTTCTTCTTGGACATTAGATATGCTGGTAATTGAAGACACTAGTGCATTGTGTTAAAGTTCATCCCCTGCCACAGTGCTGATTCCATGCCTCATGATAATCAGATGCAACTAGTTCGAACAGTGGGGTCATGCAAAACTGAAGCACACAAAACTGAAGAGAGTATGTGCATGTCCTATGAATTTCATGTGTATGACAATATTTTATCAACCATATGCCAGAGCAGCTTACCTTTAATATGGGAAATTATTATAATGTAAACTGTTTCTACTTTTAAAAATCAAGTTATTAGCAAAACCACTAGCTTAGATCTGGGTAGACATTATAACAGGCATTCAGTGTATTGTAATGGAGTGGTAGGTGGACAGACACATACTGAAGTTAATGTTTGGGTAGAGTTAGGATGCTTTTATACCAGCTCTTCATGGCTGCCTCTGGGGTGTGTTTTCTGTCATTAGTGGGCATTATTTACATCATAAGATATAGATAATCTTCATTAAATCTGTGTCCTGGGCCGAATGTTATTCTTCTCTCAAAGGCATCATGGCATTTTATGCTGAGCTTGTCTGTAGGCAGAGGGTTTGTAGACTCTGTACCCAACAAGCATTCAGTGAAGAATGGATAGGATCTGGGCTGAGAGAGAAAAGAAATTCCAGCCGGTCAAAAACAAACAAGGTGAATGTTTTGGAAGACGAACAGTGTTTTTTGAGCCCAAATGTCTGATGATGTTGATTCTATTAAAGGGAGTTTAACAAAGTACTTCCCACCCAGCATCTTAGAATTTGGTTATATATTATCTTCTTATCTTTTCTAAATCTTTCTTTCCCCCTAATATTTGACTTTCATGTCATTTTTGTCATCAACTTGTGTATCTTCCAGAACTTTTAATCCATATACACATATATTTTTCCTATCACACCTGTGGCTGAAATCCATATACTTTTAAGAGATGGCTTGGGGGATATAAAGATATGTGGATCTGAAAAAATACTGTAAATGCATTTTAAAGAAAGAATACCATTCACTTTTTAAACCCAGCATATTCAAAGTATAGTCTGATTATAGCAGTTTATATATGTTAACTCTTAACATTTGTTAGATTATGGTTATTCTTTTATGAAGGTTTGAGTAAAACTTTGAAATTATTTTAACTGCTTTTGTCTTTACGAAAATAGTATCCAACTTTAGTTCAGATGTAGGGTCTGTAAATCAGCGGTCAGCCTTAATAAGTACCTTACACGTCTTACTTGCTGCATGTAGTTTTGTGAGTAAAATTTTATGAACTACTGGTAAGATAACAACATTATGGGATATAAAATAGAGTTTCTGGCTGGATGTGTAGGGAGGTGGGACCATTAAGGACAGGGAGGCATCCAGTCTGGGAGATGAACCTAGGAAACTCAGTAAGAGGAAACATGAGCCGGGTGCCTAGAAGGATAGATTCCTATCATGATGTGTATGTATAGACTGTTAGAAATGAAAGTAGTACGGAGGGCTCTGGAGTTCATTTGATCATGAAGACTCTTTTTGTATAATGGCTCTAGGTTTCCATTTAAGCAATCTGGGTATAAAATTCCTTAGTTCTCATAGGAAATGAATAGTGTTTTGTTGTTGTTATATCCAGGGATGGGAGTGTGGACATAAGATTTTGTTTCCTGAGTGGTTTATCAGATGCTACCTGTATTTGGCATTGTAATATTTTGCCCTTTGTTTTCCAGTTTGATATTTAGGTTGCTGGTTTTTTGCAAATTTTGTCTCAGTAGTAAAAACATTTAGCTCTGGCCACATTTCGTCTTTCTTTCTTTCTTTCTTTCTTTCTTTCTTTCTTTCTTTCTTTCTTTCTTTCTTTCTCTCTCTCTTTCTCTTCCTTTCCTTTCCTTTCCTTTCCTTTCCTTCTTTCTTTCCTTTCTTTTCTTACTTTCTTTCTTTCCTTTTTTAAATCCCCCACAGAGAAAGCAATCAAGGATGGAAAATTCTAATAAGTTAAAGCCTGCTTTTCTTTTTAAGACTCTTTTAGACTCAGGTCTGACAGATTTTAACAAGAGTTTCCCTTTCTTTTTTTGGAAAAACACCTCAAGTAGGATCTTTTATTCTTAGGCAGTCTTTTTTTCTGTTGGAAAATGTAGATTTAGGAATGTCCCTAGGGTTATTATGGTAATAAAAATTTCCTAGGAAGAATTAAGAGATAAGAAAGAAGGGAAAGGAGAGTAAGCATGTTATTGTGGAACAAGCAGCAGAGGGTGCAGAATTGGATTTTAGTTCTACTTTTCCATGTGTGAGTTACTTCTGCTGGCAGAGTTTTAGTTTCTTCTTTAACTATAAAATTAGGATAGTGGACTTTATAAAATCTCTGTGACAACTTTCAGTACTGTAATTTCATGAATTTTTTGGGGGGGATCAGAATTACAAGTGGGAACTTGGCATTAATAACAGACATGATGAGTTTGATATTATGAATCGACACAAGGAGCTGATTTTATCCATAAAGAATGATACTTTCATGGGAAGAAAGAAAATGCTTTAAGATTGGGCAAAGGGAAGACATAAACTTCAGTATGGAAGGCTGTCTAGTGCATTAAGTCTAGATGAAGAGTTGGTGGTTAATCAGTATTTTAATGAAGTACCTAGGACTTACTAAAAGTGCAAACTTGGGGCCGGGCATGGTGGCTCATACCTGTAGTCCCGGCACTTTGGGAGGCCCAGGTGGGGAGATCACCTAATGTCGGGAGTTGGTGACCAACCTGACCAACATGGAGAAACCCCATCTCTGCTAAAAATACAAAACATTAGCAAGGCATGGTTATGCATGCCTGTAATCCCAGCTACTCGGGAGGCTGAGGCAGGAGAATCACTTGAACCTGGGAGGTGATGGTTGCAGTGATCCGAGATCACGCCATTGCACTCCAGCCTGGGCAACAAGAGTAAAACTTCGTCTAAAAAAAAAAAGTGCATACTTGGAATAATGTGTCCTTTAAATGTGCTCCATTTTAAATTTATCTTGTAAAGCTTTAGAGTATGTTGCATGACTCAGTACTTAAGTACTGCTGTCGTCTCATAATGGTGTATAAACTCTGAACTCTGAACCTGATTTAATTGCGTAGTATTCTCTTTACTAAGTCAGTCCATTTGAATTTGCAGTCAGTTGTAGTTTTCTCCTTTGTTTTCTATTTTTGATTTTCAAATACTGCCGTAAAACTTTTCTAAGGTTTGTGTCCTCCTCATCTCAGATGGCCCTCGTTCTGCAGGCTGGCGGGAACATATGGAACGACGTCGAAGGTTCGAGTTTGATTTTCGAGACAGAGATGATGAACGGGGTTACCGAAGGGTTCGCTCTGGCAGTGGAAGCATAGATGATGACAGGGATAGCTTGCCTGAATGGTGCTTAGAGGATGCTGAAGAAGAAATGGGCACATTTGATTCATCTGGAGCGTTCCTCTCTCTAAAAGTAAGAAATGTATTTTAAATGTAATGACCAGCATTAACCTTATACCAAAGCCAAATCTGCTCTTGATCTTTGGTTTTATTCTGTTGATACAGAAAGTACAGAAAGAGCCTATTCCAGAAGAGCAGGAGATGGACTTCCGGCCTGTGGACGAAGGGGAGGAGTGCTCTGACTCTGAGGGTAGCCATAATGAAGAGGCCAAAGAACCCGATAAGACAAATAAGAAAGAAGGAGAGAAAACAGATAGAGTAGGAGTTGGTAAGGCCTCTTCTTGCCTTTTACTTTTTTTTTTCATCATCAGACCAAAACTTTCCTAAGTTCATCTAAGAATACTTCATGTTCCAGAAGCTAGTGAGGAAACTCCCCAGACCTCATCATCATCTGCTAGACCAGGTACTCCTTCAGACCATCAGTCTCAGGAAGCAGCACAGTTTGAGAGGAAAGATGAACCCAAAACTGAGCAAACAGAGAAAACTGAAGAGGAGACTCGGATGGAAAATAGTCTACCAGCCAAAGTGCCCGGCAGAGGGGATGGTATGTATCTGTGGGAATAGACAAGCTAAAATAGGATTCTGCTGAGACCAGTGATCACTGATATGATAGGCTTCTGCTTCTAGAACTGCTTTAGGTAGGTGAATTATTGGAATAGCTAATTTTACCAGTAAACCCAGTCAAACAGTGCTTCTCACATATGTGTCCATCTCAGAATTTACCAAAACAGATTTAGAATCCGTAAGGGTGGAGCCCTGGAATCTCATGTCCTAAGGTGTTATGACATAGCCACCTTGTCCTTACTAGTGAACTAGATGTCAGATCCTCCGCGTTAGTTTAATTACCATATCAGACAGTTACCTTCCTTTCATGTGTTGGGTAATTATGTGTCCAGCTTACATTACCAGTTGACAAACAAAAATGCCATTGTTCTGAAAGAAGCCAAGCAGAGAACATGTATGAATCTGTGGCAGAATAAGCTTAAAATAGATCTCTTTCAGTATTAAATGTATTGGTTTAAGTTGCTGGTATACCTTATTAGGCAATATTAATGCACATTTCCATATTTCTTCTTGTACATATTTAAAAATGTCATTGTAATGCCTTGTGTTAAGGGTTAACTGATTCTTTTACCATAAAAATTTATACCCTTTGATGGCATATGAGACACTGCACGATCTGGCATCTGCTTCCCTTTGTGCTATTTCAGTGCCAGTCTCTTTACCTCCCTCACCTTCTACTCACCAGCCTCAGAGGCTTTTAGGTTCTGAAATGTCCCCTGGTTTCTAGAGTTCATACCTTAGCACATCCTTTTCTCTGTTCTTGAAACTCTTCCACCCAAAGCCCCCAAGCTAGGGTAGGTGTCTTCTCCCTTTGTTTCTTAAACAAGCAGCCTTATTTCTAACGTAGCATTATAATATCATAAAGATGTTTATTATCTTGTTTTCCCAGTAGAATATTTTGAGCGCTCAAACCAAGAATTTTTCAGTTTTTTAAATGCTTAGAACAAGGCTGATTTTTTTTTAAAGAGGTGAGATTAACTGGGTGCAGTGGCATGTGCCTGTAATCCCAGCTACTTAGTTTGAGAACAGTGTGGACAACATAGTGAGACCCTGTCTCTAAAAGCAAAACAAACAACAACAAAAATGTAACAGGGTCTCACTAGGTTGCTCATCCTGGATCCAAACTCCTGGACTCAGGTGATCCTCTTGCCTTTAGCTTCCTGAGAAGCTCAGCAAGTATTTGAATCTGTACTCTACATAGCAGGCATTGTGAGACTGGTGTATCTTTGAGACAGTTTGATTTGTAGTAGTTGTTTTTCAGTTATGATATGTCCCAGAACCACTTGTACATTCTTTTGAATGTACATGCTGAAGCCTTATTCTAGGAGATTCTTGGATCAAGTCTAGACATGTATATTCTGAGAAAGTTTCATAGATGTGCATTAAAGTTTGAAACTCCAGATTTATAGTGTGTAGGAGAGATAAAGCATGCATATATCACTATTTCAGGGCAAAAAGTAAGATAGGGGTTCACTTGGCAGACTCTTGGGATGCTTCAGGAAATAGGTGGTCTCTGAAGACATCTTGGAATAATAAGTAGAAATTGGGAGTAAGTGTAGCTAGACGAATTAGAAGAAGGCCTTCCAGTACTAGGGAGCAGTGAAAGCTAAAGTGAAGAAGTGGGACTGATCCAGGCTGGGCTGGAATCAGCTCTTGTTTTTATTTGATGAAATATGAAGTGTGAAAGGAGGATATTGGATATTGGGAAACTTAGTTAGAACATGGATTTGACAGCGGGTTGTAGACTGTCTTTTGTCCTGATGACAGTTTGGCTTTGCTGTGACCTCCTAGACTTCTGAGCAGTCACTATGGGGTAGGCAGTATACCTGTAAAGGTAAGTTGCGACAGATGAGATTTTAAAGTAGAAATTGGCAAGACTTGGTCATTGGCTGGATAGCAGGGTAAAGAAGAGAGAAGAGCCAAAGATGAGAGGATTATGGTGCCATTCACATGAGAAGAGAGTGGAAGTTAAGGAGCACGTTGAGGAAGGGAGAGAATAAATTCAGTTTTGAACACTGATTCTGAGTTGTTGATGAGAAGAAATTAAGTGGAGATGGCCAGAGAGCAGTTATGAATGAGGGAGTATAGCTAGATGAAAACAGTTTAGGGCTAGAGAGAGAATGAAAATTGCAAAGATTATATTCACTTACTAGGAGTAAGAGAAAAGTGAACTGAGAATAGAACTTTGAGAAACTCCCATTTTTAAAGGACAGAGGAAGAGAAACCAGAGAAAAATCCTCAGAGGTAAAAGTTGAGATAGGAGAGTAGAGTACAGGGAAACTAAGGAAGGGGAATGTTTTAGCTTACAATTGAGTTGATAATGTTAGATGCTACTAAGAGATTGGATGAGGCGGACTAGGAAAAGTCATTTCCTTTGGCAACTTATGTTTGAGAGAGGAGCTTTAATGGAGATGTGAGAGTAGAAGTCACCTTACAGCAGGTGTGGGTAAAGTGGATACAGCATGTATAGACTGTTCTTTAAAAAAATGTGGCAAAGAATGAGCGAGTGAGAGGAGCAGGAATTTGGAGAAGCTATCTGTATTTGAACAAACAAGATTTCAAAAGGGAAACTGCGATTATACTAATTACTTCCATCCTCCTTTTCTTCTTAAGAGCCTGCACATTGAGAGATTAGAAATAGGAACCAAGACAAAACCTCTTTTATAATTTGTATTCGTATTGAGAAGAACATCCTGCACTGTACAGGTAGACTCCAAGTGCTTGTCATTATCCTACAACAATATATTGAATTATGTTAATCTTATTGAGCATAATCATAGATATTTTCAGTAAAGGTTTTGATGAGATATACCATACCTTTGAGAAGATTTAGGGTGCATTGATAACTATCTTTTACAATTGGAGACATATTACAAAAAAAGGATTAGATTGATTGTTTCTAAGAGGTCAGCCTATAACTGGGTAGATGCTCTAGTGACACAGGTAAGCCCTGGAGAAGCACCTTTTAGGTACTTTTTAACTCTTACCTTTTGTCATTAATTCTGTTGTTCTAGGAAAGCATATTGTCTCCATAGAAGTAGCTTCACTGTTCATGACAGGGTTCACATTTCCATTGGGCCCATTTAGCAGGCTGTGCAACTTGATAATGTAGTTAGCCTTCACACAAGTCTCTATATTTCAAAGGATTTTCATCTGATTTTTCCCCCCTAGAAATGGTTGCTGATGTCCAGCAGCCCCTGTCGCAGATTCCTTCAGATACAGCTTCTCCTCTTCTCATACTTCCACCTCCTGTTCCCAATCCTAGTCCTACCCTCCGGCCAGTTGAAACATCAGTTGTAGGTGCTCCTGGCATGGGCAGTGTTTCCACAGAACCTGATGATGAAGAAGGTCTCAAACATTTGGAGCAGGTAAAAATCCTGTCATTCTTTTTGTCTCTTCTTAAACTGCCATAAAAATTAGCAGGTCCTTAGATGAATATTCAAATATAGAACTTTTGTCACTAGATTTTAAATACTGGAAAAATTGGCTAGTGTTTATTTGTACAAGTAATTGTCTTTCAAATCATTTCATGCTTATAAGTTTCTGCTATGTAGTAGTCATTATGTCAGGTTATTTTTGCTCTTAGGTTGCCCTTAGCTATTTACTTTTCTTTTTTCTTTTTGGACATTAATGGAATGCCACAAATGGTGAATACAAGCAGCTGTGGACGATCAATGTGTCTTCTGTATTTTTTGCTTCAGTGTAACAGGGAAAATAGTTAAACTCTCAGAGCATGAACATCTTATTCATATCTCTAATTTCCCCAAGATTGTGTATACCATTGTTATATGTAAAGTAAGTGATAGCTTGCTTTTCCATGGAAGAATTTCGTTTCCCTTTGGGGTAGAATAAGGAAAAAGGGAGTCTTAGTAAAACTTGTAAAAGATTTTATTTGTAATTGTATTAATTGAGCCTTTTGTTCTGTTAACATTCTTTTTACAGGTTTAGTTTATACCATTTAGAATTGATCAACAACTTATTAGTTTAAAAAGTACTCTTAGCCAGGCAAGGTGGTGCATATCTGTAGTCCCAGCTAGTTGGGAGGCTGGGGTGGGAGTTCAAGACTGGCTTGAACCTCGGAGTTCAAGAACAGTCTGGGTAACATAACATAACATAACATAACATAACATAACATAACATAACACATAACATAACAAACATAAAACATAACATAACATAACATAACATAACATAACATAACATAACATAACGTAACATAACATAAACATACCTCATCTCTATTAAAATCAACAAACAAAAAAAGGTACTAGTGTTGATTTGAACCCTGGGCTATGATCTCTAACAGTTTGTGTTTTAATCTTAGTTGATTTGATTAGTAATTTTGAGATCTTGAGCAAGACTTGGCATCTCTGAGCCTTAGTTTCCCCCTCTGTAAAATGGGGATAGTACCTATTTCATGGCATTGTTGGGAGAATTAAAATGTTACCTGCTATATTCTTCACATAGTGACTTTCGTAGATCAAGTAGTCCAAAAAAAAGGCAGGCACTGTTACTATGTGTACAAGTACTAAATTAGGGTCGTTTGTTTCCTTGATTTTTGTCTTTCTGTTATTAGCAAGCTGAGAAGATGGTGGCTTATCTCCAAGACAGTGCACTAGATGATGAGAGATTGGTATCAAAACTGCAAGAGCACAGAGCTAAAGGAGTGTCGATTCCATTGATGCATGAAGCAATGCAGAAGTGGTATTATAAAGATCCTCAGGGAGAAATTCAAGGCAAGTTGTTCCTTTTGCCTTTAAGTGCTGAAGTGTATGCCATTACTTACAGAATCTCTAAGAAGGGATTTGCTTAATTTGAATTATAGTAGAAAAAGAAGTCAGCAGGCTTTCTTCATGTGTACATGCACACACGCAGACTAGAAATGTTTCTGATTCCAGATAGTTTTAGATTTTTTTCCCGATTTTGGAATATTTGCATTGTATGTACCAGTTGAACATCCCAAATCTGAAAATCCAAATTCCATAATGCTCCATTGAATGTTTCCTTTGTGTGATGTTCAGATTTTAGAGCATTTGGATTTCAGATTTTTGTATTAGAGATAGTCAACCTCTGTGAAAATAATTTGAATACAGCCTGGTGCGGTGGCTCATGCCTATAATCCCAGCACTTTGGGAGGTTGAGGTGGGCAGGTCACCTGAGGTTAGGAGGTCGAGACCAGCCTAGTCAACATTTGAGACCAGCCCGGCCTACATAGTGAAACTCCATCTCTTCTAAAAATACAAAATTCGCTGGGCATGGTGGCAGGCACCTGTAGTCCCAGCTACTTGGGAGGGTGAGGCAGGAGAATGGCTTGAACCCAGGAGATGGAGGTTGCAGTGAGCTGAGATTGCACCACTGCACTCCAGCCTCGGCGACAGAGCAAGACACCATCTCAAAAAAAAAAAAAAATGTGAATACAAGGCAGAATGTGATGACAAATATGACAGGGGTATAAGGAAAATGTTTAAGACTCTTATCTCTGGCATCTCAGTTGGTTAAGCAGGCAGGTAGCCTACTTACCTTCTCTGTGTTTCAGTTTCCCTGACCATGAAAATGTGATGGCGGCAGTAGTGTTGGAGGACCTTGACTGTTTTTTTCTCCAAGCGGAGTTGATAAAAATGGTGGAGAACTACTAAAAATGTCAGAGAAAAGATAGTACTGTATTACAGATGAATCCCTTAGAAGATTTGTGTGGTGTGTAAGTTAGATTAGAATGGGTACAGACTGCTGTCTATAAAGGGTATTTGTTGATTCTTCATTTCTGCTTTTGAAATCTGTCCTGTTACCCTGAAATTGGTTGGTCACTTCATATTAGTGTAATTTTAATGATAGCATTTTACTGTGTGCCTGCCCCGTGAGCTCTTTCCAGTGAATTAACTCTCCTTCTACTCTCAATTCCCTTATCCTGCCTATTCTCCTTCACGGCATTTATTACTACCTGGCACTTTACATATTTGTTTATTGTTTATACTCCTCCAGTAAGATAGGGGAGAGCAGGGCTTGTGTGTATGTGTGTTTGTTCTAATCAAATTATATTTTGGGATAATCGTAGCTATTTATATAATGTAAAGAATAATACAGAGAGATTCCGTATATCCTTTGCACAGTTTTCCCCAGTAGTAACCTCTTGCAAAACTATAGTATAGTAACACAACTGGGACATTCCCATTTGGATTCAAAACATGGCTGGTTGTGGTGGCTCACGCCTATAATCACAGCACTTTGGGAGCCTGGGGTGCGTCAATTGCTTGAGGCCAGTAGTTCAAGACCAGCCTGGTCAACATGGTGAAACCCCATCTCTACTAAAAATACAAAAATTAGCTGGGTGTGGTGGTGGATGCCTGTAATCCTAGCTACTCGGGAGGCTGAGGCATGAGAATCTCTTGAACTGGGGAGGTGGAGGTTGTCATGAGCTGAGATTGTGCCACTGTACTTTAACCTGAGTGACAGAGTGAGACTGTGTCTCCAAAAAAAAAGAACATTTCCTTCTCAACAGAGATTCTTCAGATTGCTCTTCTATAGCCACCTGAGCTTCCTTTCTACCCACACTCCTTTGTTAACCCCTAGCAATGACTAACCTCTGCAATGAGAAGTTAGTCTCCATCTCTGTATTTTGTCATTGCAAGAATGGAATGGAGTCATACTTTTGGGGATTAGCTCTATTCACTCAGCATAATTCTCTGGAGATTAATCCAGGTTGTTGCATGTATCAATGGTTTGTGTTTTATTACTGAGTAGTAGTAGTGCATGGTATGAACGTTATCAGAGTTTGTTTAACCATTCACCCATTGAAGGACATCTTAGTTGTTTTGGGACTATAATGAATATAGCTGCTGTAAGCATTTATGGACATGTTTTTCAGTGAATGTAGTAAGTGTTCATTCCTCAGGGCTAAATGCCCAGGAGTGCAGTTGCTGAGTTGTATGGTAGTTACATGCTTAGTTTTTAAAGCAACTGCCAAACTCTTTTCCAGAGTGGCTGTACCATTTTATATGCCCACCAGCAATGTATGAGCGATCCAGTTTCTCTATATCCTTATCAGCATTTGATGTGGTTGCTATTTTTCTATTTTAACCATTCTGACAGGTGTGTAGTGCTGTTTCATTGGGGTTTTACATTTACATTACATTTCCCTAATGGCTGATGATGTTGAACATCTGTGCATGTTATTACTGGCCATTTATTTGTCCTCTTCAAGTTTCCCTTCATATTTCGTGTCTTTTGTATTCTTGTCCTAATTGGATTGTTTGCTTATTTTACTGTTTTTTTTTTTTTTCATTTTTAATGTTATGTTAAAATAACATAAAATTTACCATCTTAGCCATTTTTAAATGTACAGGTCAGTAGCATTCAATACATTTATAATATTGTGCAACCGCTCCTACCATGTGTCCTCCCCGCTCCCTCCGGAGAGGCGGCGCTGTGACAGCCAGGCCAGAGCCCTAGCCCGGTGGTGAGTTCGGGCAGGGGTAGGGGGGGTCCGTGCGGCTGGCCGCGTCTGGGGCCTTTGTTGTGGGCCCGCAGGGGGAGGCACAGAGATAGAGTCCGCAGTCTACCCTCTCAATTTGACCCTGAAAGAAGAGGAAGAGGAAGAAGAGATTCAGAGCCGGGAACTGGAAGACTGCCCAGTTGTCATGCAGAAAGTCCGAATCTGCTCTGAGGGCGGATGAGTACCAGCCCTGTTTGATGAGGTGACCATATATTTTTCCAATGAGCAGTGGGAAGTTTTGACGGAGCAACAAAAGGCCCTGTACCAGGAAGTCATGAGGATGAATTATGAAACCGTCCTATCCCTGGAATTCCCATTCCCTAAGCCAGACATGATCACCTGGTTGGAAGGGGAGGAGGAGTCTCAGAATTCTGACGAGTGGCAACTCCAAGGAGGCATCTCTGCAGAAAATGAAGAATCTGATGTCAAGCCTCTAGACTGGCCAAGCCCAATGAGTGCTACCTCCCACTTTCCTCAGCTTCAGCACTTCGACAGCTTTGGCCTCCGTCTGCCTTGGGATATCACAGAGCTGCCTGAGTAGTGTGAGGGGTTCCCCTCCTACATGGCCATGGGCTTCCCAGGGTATGACCTCTCAACTGATGACATACATAGCTGGGAAGTTTCAGTTCAGCCAGGGCATGTGCCGCAGTTACGACGCAGGGTTCAAGCTGATGGTGGTGGAATATGCTGAGAGCACCAACAACTGCCAGGCTGCCAAGCAGTTTGGAAAATTGGAAAAAAACATTCGAGACTGGCGCAAAGTGAAGCCACAGCTTCAAAATGCCCACGCCATGCGGCGGGCATTCTGAGGCCCGAAGAATGGGAGGTTTGCTCTGGTGGACCAACATGTGATGGAATATGTCAGATAGATGCAGGCCAAAGGGGACCCCATCACCCGGGAGGCGATGCAACTGAAAGCTCTCGAAATCGGGTTCAAGGCATACTTGGGTTGGTGTTGAAGAATGATGAGAAGGTATGACCTGTCTCTGAGACATAAAGTGCCTGTGCCCCAGCACCTGCCAGAAGACCTGACTGAGAAACTCGTCACTTAGCAGCGCGGTGTCCTGGCTCTGTGTAGGGCACATGACTATGAGGTAGCTCAGATGGGGAATGCAGATGAGATGCCCATTTGTTTAGAGGTGCTGTCACAGGTAACTGTTGATAACCAGGGCAAAAGCCTGTCTTGGTCAGGACACTGGGCAGGGAAAAACTGAAAATCACAGCAATGCTTGGTGTCTTGGCTGATGGGAGGAAGTTACCTCCATACGTCATTTTGAGGGGAACATATATCCCCCTGGGGAAGTTTCCCAGTGGGATGGAAATCCACTGCCACTGGTATGGGTGGATAACTGAAGACTTGATGCAGAACTGGTTGGAAGTGGTGTGTAGATGGAGGACAGGAGCGGTGCCTAAGCAGCAAGGGATGCTCATCTTGAATGGCTTCTGGGGCCATGCCACAGATTCCGTGAAGAACTCCATAGAAAGCATGAACACTGACATGGTGTTCATCCCTGGGGGTCTGACCTCACAGCTTCAGGTGCTGGACGTCGTGGTCTACAAGCCACTGAATGACAGTGCACAGGCCCAGTACTCCAACTGGCTTCTGGCTGGGAACCTGGCGCTGAGCCCAACTGGGAATGCTAAGAAGCCACCCCTGGGCCTCTTTCTGGAGTGGGTTATGGTCGTGTGGAATAGCATCTCAAGTGAGTCCATTGTCCAAAGGTTCAAGAAGTGCCATATCTCTAGCAACTTGGAGGAAGAAGACGATGTCCTATGGGAAATTGAGAGTGAGTTGCCAGAGGAGGAGAACCACCAAAAGAATGTGACACAGAAAGCATGGCTGAGGGCAGCTGAAGGGAAAGGGACAGCAAATGGAACTCTGATTGAAACAGTTGGAGAGGAAAATCCTCACGAAAATTATTCCTGAAAGTGTGGATGTACTGGATGTGCAGGGAACATCAGGAAAAGGGCACAGGGCTCTTAACAGCCCAGGTCCAGACAGTAGCCTGTACATCCAACCCAGGACACAGCCCAGCCCCTCCCCCACACCGTATAAGGGATCAGAAAAGTCTAGGACCTATCATTTCATCAAAGACATGATCAGAAACAAAACTGCTTCCGCCCCATTTCTTGTTTTGGAGATTACTCCATCTGTCCATCAAAAGAAACCTGTAAATATGAACGAACAAAGTATTTCCTGGAGAAGAGACAATTCGTTCAACAGCAACATGGGACTCATCATATGGG